ATCCCAGTGTGTCAGTATCTCAAATGTGATGACTTCAAAAACTCAAAGTGTCCTTCTTGCCCTCTCCAGGCCACACCTCTTTTAGCGTTACCACTTCTGTTATCCCATTTCAGATACCCTGGTGAATACTTCTGATGAATGCTGTTTCTTGCCTGAAATCTTAGAGGAACTTAATTGAGCATTCTGCTGGCATTGTTCTCTTTTTGCCTGTCTTTATACCAAGAAAATATGTGCTGAAGCACAACTCTAATGATCTCTCCCTCTTGCCTTAAATACTGATTTCCCATTGTCTATGTGAATAGATTTGAAATCCCTTGGGTCTTTTCTTTGACCTCAGCTTATCATTTCATCTCTGTTGCTCCGCAGTCATGCAGAAGTACTTGCCATGCTTTCACACACATCATACTTTCTTTGGCCAAGAATCAAGGTTCATTCTGTTACCTCTGCTTAGAATTCTCTCCACCCCTTTTATATATTAAGATTATGGTCTTGCTTCAAACCTCAGCTCAGATGCCACCTCCACAAAACCTTTTCTTTTTTCCTCAGCCAGAAGTTACCTATTCATTCTTTCATTCATTCGGCAAGCCAGTGAGTACTTACTGTTCATCCAGTATCCATCCTCTAGATCTTGCAGTTTAATAGAAGAAAACAGACATTTAATGAAGTTCAATATAGTGTTACAAGGACTTTAATACGAGTATGTAAAGGGTACACTGGGGGCCAAGTAGAATAGAGTAAGTTCCACGTAGCAAATACAGTAATGAGGAAGGACTTTAGAGAAGAGATACTCAGCGAGGAGATGCATGGGTCAGGCAGACAGGTGAGAGAGTTAGGGGATTTGAGGGAGGTGTTATAAGCAGAGGAGCAGCGTACACAAAGATGTAGGGGCACGAAGCAGTTTGGCAAGCACAGAACTACAAGTGCTTTATTATGGTTAGAAAATAAAGTGGGGTGGGGGAAGGGAGGAGGAATTTGGGGCTAAATAGGAGCCTGGAAAGGGAAGCAGGAGACTGATTTTAGTGGCTCATATTATGCCATGCTAAGGGCCTTAGCTTTTCTAAGAGGTATGGGGAGCCATTGAAATGCTTAAAGTTGAAGCATCACCTGGCTAGTTAGGCAGTGCTAGGGAAATTGGAAGACAACCAAAAGCAACGCGGTCAGTTGGAAGACGTTCCAAGAGTGTGGCAGTGGAGGTGGTGTGGCAAAAACAAACACAAGATTTAAGGAGCCTGGGACCAATAGGACTGGTTGCTGACGGTTAGGCAGGTAGGAAGGAAATATGATGAGATGTTTGGTATGAATTCCAAATTTTTGACTTAAGAAGTTGGAGGTGCTGTTAGGAAGAGCTGGTTAGGGGAGAAAAAAAAACTAAGATTTCAGTTTTCAACATGTTTAATGTGAATATTTACGTGCAGCTGTACTCAGAAGGCAGTTGGAGGTATGGGAACAGAGCCTGCAAAGAGGTCTAGGCTGGAGACAAATATCTGTGTTCCTCAGCATGTTGGTGGTTATTGAAGGTGTGGGAATAAGTGCAGTTGTTGAAGATAAGAAGGAAGAGTGAAACGGGAAAAGAGTTAAGAAAAGGAAAATATTCAGGGCATATCAACATTTGGTAGATTTTTCAAAGGAAGATAAACCTACAAAAGAAACTAGGAAGAAAACGTCACAGAAGTTAAGGTCTAGGCCGGAACTGAATGATGTAAATCCAAAAGGATAGGACTGACCAGGATGAAGGGGTTTGGAAATGGTCCTAGCCAAATCAAACACAACCGTATTGGAGGAAGGGAGGGAGAGACCCATAAGGACAGGAGCGTGTGCTTACATTTCTGATGTGACACAGCATTTTAAGAAACAGGCTGTGTCCTTGGAAGACAGAGACTAAATTGGTATGAAAGTGAAGATTACAACCAGATAATCAAAGAGATTTGTATTGATTCACATAAAATAAACGTGAAAGTGACCCAAGATGAGGGTTGCATTACTTGGAATGGAGAAAGATACTGTCAGCTGTGTGGGTATCAATACCTCCGTGAACGAGGTACAACAACTCATAGTTAAACAGATTTTAGAAAAAGAAAGGTAATTATTTTCCTCCTCTGGGCAGCTACACGTAATCTTTTACCTTTATCTCACAGATATCTCATGAGATACCTATCAATTTGTAGTTTATAATAGAATTATTTCTATGATTTCCTACAGTCACATTTGTTTCTTTGTTCCTTCTATCTTCTGCTAGATTGTAAGCTGTTTAAGGCCCTGTGCTGTATATTTTTCATTATTGCTTTATCTTTACCACCTAACAAAGTGTCTGGTACATAATAAATACTCCATTAGGGGAAACTATTGAATGAACAATTGAATGAAAGGATGAAAATGGAAGAGAGGGGCAAAAAGAAAGAACGAAACAGTCAGGTGGTTAGAAAGGAAAATGATTCATTCTCTCACTTCTCATCCTGGACCGCAAGCCTTCCATTGTGGACAGGTCCTTTGTCTTATCTGGTGCCACCAGCATAGTGTCTCTTGCAGAGTAGACCATCTAGAAATGTGACTGGAGTGGGTAAGTGGGAGCATTCCCAAAGCATATTTTAATTTCATAGATTTTCTTTCTTTTTATATTTTAATAATTTTTAAATGTAGCAAATAATTGAAAAGTTATCAACAGATTATTTGATTCATAAATTATGCATGTTCTATATTTCACATATCTGATTTTATATGGTGATATCTCTGTTGATTCTTCTGGAAAAGGAAACTCTTCATGACAAAATACACTTCGTATTTGGTGGAGATTGAATCAATAAGTGGGGGAGGGCAAAACAGACTCCACGGTGCTTTCGCTCTGCCTACCCCTAGGTCTTCAATTGACCTGTCATCCCTTTGAAAGGCCATCCTTAAAGGAGCAGTTAAGAAGCAACTGCTCACTGGCACTCCCACTACCTATTTACCTTATTCTTTGTCTTTCTCCCTTTTTATTATTCCCAATTCTTGTCTTTTTACTTTGGTGAACTAGAGAATCACTGTCTTCTTCAACTAAAGTTGCATCATTATATCTCTAATCTTGGTTTTTCCTTGTGCCAGGAGAACTTAAGGGCCAGTCATTCATTCTCAGTGGATGTTCTACCCTGTTCTGAATTATTACACAGGAAAAGTAAGGTTTCTGAACCAGCTTGAAGGATGTGGCAGTGTTAGGAAGTCAGAAAATTGTTACTGCTTGCATCTACTTGTATTTTAGCTAAATATAATGAATTTTTTTGTACCACGATTTTCTTTTCCTGCCATTCTTTTCTGCTTTCTTTCTTGTTTTTATCTCTGAAGAAAATATCTGACAGCTAGATGACCCATTAGAACACATTATCTTTTAAAATATGTGTCATTATATAAGTGCTTTTTCCACTTTCTTCTGCATTGTGTATGACTGGATATATTTATTTTTGTTTGTTTTTTTGTAACCTGGTAAAATGCCATTCACTTTCTGTTGTAAATTTCTCTTAGATCACCATAATAAAATGCCTTGTATGTATTGCTGTACCCCTTAAGGGTTTTTAATGCTGTTCTCTGCTCTTTTGCAAGAAATATAAATTAAAATCTTCAGGCTCTCCCAGTGGGTGTAACATTACCATGAAACATTGTTGAATTTCCAAGTGTAGCTAAAATTGATTCATTAAATTTCATTCTGCTAGAATCATAAAATGTAAGAGATTAGGACGAGAACAGCCCTTATAGGTCATACACTGCAACCTCGCTATTTAATAGATGAAGAAATGAACCTCCAGAGACAGTGACTTACCCAAGGGCACAGGGTTACAAAGTGCCTTCAACAAGACTGGTTTCCATTTCACTGTACTCTTTACCAAACCCTGACCCTTCATCTGGTAGACTCTTTTATCCACCTCCTCTTTCAGAATGACATTTCTCAATGCCATTAGCCTTCTCCATAGCACTAGCAACATATTCAGCCCACACTTTTTAATCACCACTTGTGTTTCCTCTGGTGGAGAGTTGTTTTATGATAGAAATGGAGAACTATGAAGAAATTGTGCTAATTTGAAAATTTACTAAGTGCTAAAATTTACTAAGTGGCCAGAAAGAGTTAATGTAAATTTTTGAAAATGTCTAAATCGTTCCTAAAGACAGTCCTACAAAGCAAAATAATCTAGTTTTTCCTCTTAGTTTATTGTCTGTGGAAGATCATATACAATGTTATAACACATAGTTTCGTAAACTGATGGAAATTAGAATTGAGAATAAAATCCTGTATTCTTCTACCCGATGGATTGAGGACCATATAGGAGGGTACTTTCTTAATTTATTGAAATCTGCTTTTATTCTATGATATAAGTAGTATAAAATAGTAAACATCAACTCTCATCTATAAAGTGACAACATTTAAATACTCTATACACAATTGAAGATTGGGATAATACTTATAACTTCCCTTATAATTTATTATACTTAGTTTAAAGGAGTGTTTTTTTCTCTAATACAAAATTTAACATAAAACTTTTAATCTATATTTGTACAAAATGGTTCATTATAAATGTATGTCTACTCTAATTGCCTTCTATTTAAACTTAGAATTAAGTCTGTTGTAGTAGATTCTTGATAAAATCTACTACATGTATGTAGCACATACATACTAAATATGTATGTGTGTATTTACAGTTAACTTGGAGACTTACAATTACAAACCTAGTGTCCTCAGTGACTGCTATCTTCTGATTAAACTCTGAAAAAAAACAAAACAAAGTCCATTTTAAAGCCTCTGATTGTGGAAAATACTTCTTGGTTGTCATTAATACTGTCCATTCAATGAACTTCATAGAACGTTTTACTTATTGTAAAATCATTGGCAGCAGTCTTATATATATTTCTAGTACAGTAAATGTTTAGTCAGAAAATGTACTTTCCTTGTAAATCTATAGCTATTCATAATTTCTTCCTTTCGGTAAGCTAACCAAAAATGGTTGTCTTAATCAGGTTTTGTTTTTCCTTCTTCACAGCTCCGACAGTTAGTTAATATGTGCATCAACCCAGATCCAGAGAAGCGACCAGACGTCGCCTATGTTTATGACGTAGCAAAGAGGATGCATGCGTGCACTGCAAGCAGCTAAACATGCAAGATCATGAAGAGTGTAACCAAAGTAATTGAAAGTATTCTGTGCAAGTCATACCTCCCCATTTATGTCTGGTGTTAAGATTAATATTTCAGAGCTAGTGTGCTTTGAATCCTTAACCAGTTTTCATATAAGCTTCATTTTGTACCAGTCACCTAAATCACCTCCTTGCAACCCCCAAATGACTTTGGAATAATTGAATTGCATGTTAGGAGAGAAAATGAAACATGATGGTTTTGAATGGCTAAAGGTTTATAGAATTTCTTACACTTTTCTGCTGATAAATTGTGTTTAGATAGACTGTCAGTGCCAAATATTTAAGGTGCAGCTTGGCACACATCAGGATAGGCTCAAATCTGAGAAAAAGTATCTGAACATGTGACTTGTTTCTTTTTTAGTAATTTATGGACATTGAGATGAACACAATTGTGAACTTTTGTGATGATTTTATTTTTAAACCTTTGAAGTACTAGTTTTAGTTCTTAGCAGAGTAATTTTCAAATATGATTCTTATGATAAATGTAGACACAAACTATTTGAGAAACATTTAAAACTCTTAGCTTATACATTCAAAATGCAACTATTAAATGTGAAGATTGGGGGACAAAATGTGAGTCAGACACTGAAGAGTTTTTGTTTTGTTTTAATATTTTTGATATTCTCTTTGCATCGAAATGGTATAAATGAATCCATTTAAAAAGTGGTTAAGGATTTGTTTGGCTGGTGTGATAATAATTTTTAAAGTTGCACATTGCCTAAGGCTTTTTTGTGTGTGTTTTTATTATTGTTTGTACATTTGAAAAATATTCTTTGAATAACCTTGCAGTACTATATTTCAATTTCTTTATAAATTTAAGTGTATTATACTCATGATTGTACACTATAATATAAGCCTAAGTTTTTATTCATAAGTTTTATTGAAGTTCTGATTGGTCCCCTTCAGAAATTTTTTTATATTATTATTCAAGTTACTTTCTTATTTATATTGTATGTGCATTTTATCCATTAATGTTTCATACTTTCTGAGAGTATAATACCCTTTTAAAAGATATTTGGTGTATCAACACTTTTCCTGGATTGAAAACTTTTTTTTTAACTTTTTAAAATTTGGGCCACCCTGTATGCATGTGTTTGGTCATGTTAAAGAGGAAGAAAGGATGTGTGTTATACTGTACCTGTGAATGTTGATACAGTTACAATTCATTTGACAAGGTTGTAATTCTAGAATATGCTTAATAAAATGAAAACTGGCCATGACTACAGCCAGAATTGTTATAAGATTAACATTTCTATTGAGAAGCTTTTGAGTAAAGTACTGTATTTGTTGATGAAGATGACTGAGATGGTAACACTTGGTGTAGCTTAAGGAAATGGGCAGAATTTCGTAAATGCTATTGTGCAGATGTGTTTTCCTTGAATGTTTTCATATTAGGGGCGACCAGTTTCTCACAGAATTGTGAAGCCTAAAGGCCAAGAGGAAGTCACTGTTAAAGGACTCTGTGCCACCTTACAACCTTGGATGAATTATCCTGCCAACGCGAAAACCTCATGTTCAAAGAACACTTCCCTTTAGCCGATGTAACTGCTGGTTTTGTTTTTCATATGTGTTTTTCTTACACTCATTTGAATGCTTTCAAGTATTTGTAAACTTAAAAAATGTATAAAGGGCAAAAAGTCTAAACTCTTGTTTTTTGAAATCTAATCAGTTATGTATGGTTTCTGAAGGGTAATTTTATTTTGGAATAGGTAAAGGAAATCTGTTGTTTGTTTGTTTTTTTCCTGAGGGCTAGATGCATTGTTTTTCTCACACTCTTAGTGACTTTTAACATTTATACTGAGCATCCATAGATATATTCCTAGAAGTATGAGAAGAATTATTCTTATTGACCATTAATGTCATGTTCATTTTAATGTAATATAATTGGGATGAAATGTTCTCTGGTTGGAACAGATACTCTTTTTTCTTGCAATCTTTAAGAATACATGGATCTGAAATTGATTAGCTTGACCCCTCAAAGTGACTAAGATTTAAGCTTTTCTTCTCAATGAATGTATCTGCTAGAAGGAAATAGCTGGGAAGAATTTAATGATCAGGGAAATTCATTATTTCTACATGTGGAAACTTTTTGCTTCAAATATTGTATCTTTTTAAATCTAAATGTTCATATTTTTCCTGAAGAAACCACTGTGTAAAAATCAAATTTTAATTTTGAATGGAATAATTTCAAAGAATTATGAAGATGATTTGAAGCTCTAATTTATATAGTCACCTGTAAAATGTTCTTTATATGTGTTCATAAGTAAATTTTATATTGATTAAGTTAAACTTTTGAATTGATTTGAGGAGCAGTAAAATGAAAGCTATATCTATTCTAAACCTTATTTAGACATTGGTACCAGTTACCCAGGTGAAAATATGGAGTAACTTTATTTTGTGTGGTAAGGTTTAGGAATGGTGGATGAAGGGTATCTCTATATAAATAAAGTGCTCAACAATGTGCAATGATTGTAAATTTAGTAAGACATTACAGCCATTTCATGAATGCTTTACCATTCAACATAGTATCTATTACAAAACACCTTTCTTGTATCCATATACTTCAGGTGTTGCTGTTAACATTTACTATGATATTTATTTTAACCAAAATGTTATTCACATTAAATGTTTATTCTTTAAAATGAATGTATTATGTTTTTAACCCACAAATGCATACTTACCCTATGCCTCATATTTCAATAGTACTGTAATATGGACATCTTTTGTGAAATACTTTTATTTTGTTATGCTTTAAATATACATACAAAAAGAATTTCTGTCATTAGCTTTGAAAATTGTACAATATCCTAATATAAACAAAAACATAAAAATAAAAATGAATACAGTAAAATGTCTGGGTAACTATGATTTTTTCCCCTGAAGTTTTCCATTTTTTATTTTACTTAATGTACAGAAACAGTTCTTACACATTTTCATAACTTTGCCATTTTGGAGAAGCGTAAGAATTGGAATAGACGAGGATGATAACAGAGATTACACGAATCCTAAAAAGTAGTTTTATCAACATGCATTAAATTAAGGCACATCTTCATGTTCTCTTCAGGACATCATTTTCTGTTTTTGAATGAGAAAAGTTTTCTAAAAGGTAAAAAAAAAAAAAAAAAAAAAGGAATATTAATCTTACTGTTTGAATCTTTACAGCAAGGGTGTCCAATCTTTTGGCTTCCCTGGGCCACATTGGAAGAAGAAGAATTGTCTTGGGCCACACATAAAATTTGCTAAGACTAACAATAGCTGATGAGCTAAAGAAAAAGAAATCGCAAAAAAAATCCCATAATGTTTTTTAAAAGTTTACAAATTTGTATTAGACTGCATTAAAAGCCATTCTGGGCCACATGTGACTCATGGGCTGTGGGTTGGACAAGCTTGCTTTAGAGTCTAAAATTTACATGACAGGTTCAATTCCTGTCATTGTAATGGGCTGCTAAGAATGTTACAGACGATTTATGTTGAGTGTTATCTTCACATAATAAATGAAGGTTACTATACCTGAAAATGTGAGTCTGAAAGATCTTAGCGGGATGAAACCTACCAGACTGGTGGTAGAGTGAGTGGATATACCTTACACATCAGAAGTATATTCCAAATATACCATCATGAAGAATGGCCCATTTTGTAATAATTTTAGTCACAAGACAGTGGGGCTAGTTATGAATTTTTATTTCAAAAAAGTATACTTGTTTTTAGGCATTTATGTTTAAATGTATTGTTACAGCTGTAAGTACCACTAAATTGATGCAATTTTTAAAATCAGAATGACGACATTATTAACAAAGACAACTGCAGTGAATCCCTTGAGTTATCAAATGACTTCCATGAAGTTGTTGCGTTCTTTTTAACTACATGTGAATTTCTGGAAAATTAATGATGGTTAACAGACAAAGACGTGAATGTTTTCAAATTTATATTTAATTGAGATTTATTTGAGGGAGTTTTCCTTCTGGTCGTCTTAAATACCAATTTCAGTGTTCGCTTGGGTACCTAAATCTATTTTTAAACCTTAAAAAAAGAAAAAGTCGAAGGAAATTAAAAGTTAGGATTTGTAACCGGGGGTGCGAGTACCTTGTTTTTACTATGAGTGTTACAATGCATAGGAAATCATTTTTTCACTCCTTTCTCAAAGTGAAATCCTGTGTATAAATTATTTAATTGCTTGAATCCTCACTTTGTCACATATATTATAGGGATATCATTCCCTAACTCTACAGGATAATTGTAATACAATTTATAATGACTAAATGCAATGCTGCATATTCTCTTCTACACTCGCATAATAAGAGCTACATTTATCAAGCACTAATAGTGATAAATGTAGCTCTTCATACACGAATGTAGAAGAGAATATGTGTGTTACTTCTCTCGCTATACTTCCATCTACTTTTGCCTTGTTCTCTCCATTAGTCCCACTGGCCTAGTTTTTCAAAGGCCCCAAGCTCTTTCTCACTTTAGAAACAGTGTAGCTTAAATGGCTCTTCCCTTTTTGCTAGCAAAAGAATCCAACTAATCTTTCAAAGCTGACTTTAAATACCCTTTTTCAGGAGCCACCAAGACTACATTCTGTACTTTTCCGTTAGTGCTTACCCCAACTGTAGCCAAATGATTACTTGTGTGATTCTTTAATTTCAATCTCCCTGATAGATAGATGATAGAACGAAAAATACGTCCTGCATTGTTCACTAGGGTGTTCGACACTTAATAACACAGTGCCTGATAGTTTATTTTTGCTGAATTAATGAGCATTATCCAAGCACCACAGAGTGCTGAACATAGATGCAAAACATCAAAAATCAGGAAAAACTGGGACAAAGAGGTAAGAGATACAAAAACAAGCTAAACCAAAAGAAAATTTTGAAGTTATCATTGTCATGGGTTGCAAGGAAATTAAAAGTGATAAGGACTGAGATTAGGCCCCTGGACTTAATGAGAAACACATCATAACATCTGCAGAGCAGCAATATCAGGAGACGAGAATAGGAAACATTGGGGTAAAAACAGGAATGATGGCATATGGAGAAAAATCAGATGATAATCAGAAGTGGTAGCTGATCATTTTTTAAATAATAAAGTTTAAAAGTTAAGAGAATTAGCAAATGGAGAAGAAATTGAAGGTTTTAGAGAGGGAGTGCAAAAGATGGTAAAGAATGGGATGCACAGAAGGGATTGGTCTATTAACCACAAACAATTATCGAGTAACCTGTCTACTAGACCAACATGTGCAGTCTCAAGCAGAATGACTCTGTTTTTATGGACTTAAAAATCAAGTCAGGAAGAAACACATGTAACAGAAATATAAATGTATAAACAAATTTTGATGAGTGCTATAAAGGAAGAGAGAGACCGAGAAAGTGACATTTAAATTTAAGATTCCTAAAAGGACTCAGCCAAAGAACGAACAAGGGGAAGATCGTGCCAGGTAGAGGAAGAAGACCTGTGAACATCTTGGGGTGAGCAGTAACTCTGCTATCTGAGATGCAAAAGAAGATGAAAGTGGGTGGGCAGTGGGTGGAGTAATGCAAGGTAAGTTTGGAGGTGTACCTTTCCTCTCTACTTGCAATGATCAGTAATTTAAATGGGGGGAAATCGTGATAGTTAAAATTATAAAATGCTTAGAAAAATGATCAAGAAAGGTGTAAGACTTCTATGAATAAAATTATAAAATCTTGTTGAAGGACACAAAGCAAATCCTGAACAAATAGAGAAAGAGATGATGTTCTTGAATGGGAAGATTAATACAAATATCAAGCATTATATAATATTAGTATTGCAGTATCAATCTGATTCCCACTTTTTTTTTTTTTTT